TTGCAACCAGCTGGATCAGCAGACATCAGTTGTTTAGCCTCCTTCCAAAGGCAGTTAACGCAACTAACAAGCCAGCTAGCGTCACTACAGACGACAATTGCAACCGTCCAAGCTAGACAATTGAGATCCTCTTCCAAACGAAGATCTTTTTCTAGACAACGGTCTCGGTCACCGAAGCAAACAACAACGTCGATAATCTCCACGTTTAAATAACCAGACTATTGCGGACAGGTATCCTGTCCCTCATCTACACGATTTTTCTCTAAATCTGCATGGAAAACAGATCTTTTCGAAGCTAGACTTAGTAAGAGCTTATCATTAAATCCCGATGACACTGTAGAATTATGGTCTACTATGATATTAGTACTGCTCTAATAATAAACCTAATCCTAAACTTGTCGATCTGTCATGATATAACTGCCTAATCTATAAGGTCTTACGTGGAAGTCACACCATCGACTACACCAACTCACTGTATCGTATCAATTACCAATACATGATGTAGAACAAGGTTAGGCTAGAGAAAGAACAATATATTTAATATGAATAGAAGATATAAAGTAACACTGAGATGGACCACGCCTGCATGGACGAGCCATGCCACTCGATCAACTCCAGTCCATTCAATTCATTCTCCGCGCCTTCTCCATTGTTAGGTATTTCTCCGCGTTAAATATTGAATATCTATTTTCTGTGTAGTCTCGTGTTCACAGCTTTGTGGATTGTGTGGCTATTGTCCAATGCCACTACAACACCCGAAGATACTGAGAAAACAGCCATAATCACGCCTTTTGGCCTGTTTGAATTCTTGCGAATGCCATTCGGGCTAAAAAAACGCCACTCAGACGTTTCAGAGGTTCATGGACGAGGTTACATGGGGTTTAGATTTCGCATTTGCCTATATCGATGATGTTTTGATCGCCAGTCCATCACTAGAAGAGCACATCCAGCACTTACAGACCCTTTTCGAACGTTTCAAAAAACATGGCGTCGTTAATAATCCTTCTAAATGTATATTTGGTGTCCCAGCCTTGGAGTTTTTAGGACATCATATCGACTCTCAAGGCATTAAATCACTTCCAAAAATAGTCGAGGCCATTACCAGTTACCCAGAACCAACTTCAGTAAAATCACTACGTCGTTTCCTTGGGACGTGCAATTTTTACCGACGATTTCTACCAAATTGCGCTGATGTACTACAGGCGTCGACAGATTTACTGAAAAACGATAAAACAGGTACAAAGAAAGAAAAGAACCAAATTTTCAAGTTACCTCCTGATACCAAAACGGCATTTGAAAAAGCTAAGTCCATGATTGACAAAGGTACCAGGCTCCAACACCTAAATACTCACCCCACAACCCATTTGATCCTGTGTACGGATGCTTCGCAAAAAGATTTAACGGCAGATGTTTGCTTCGGTGACCGAGACCGTTGTCTAGAAAAAGATCTTCGTTTGGAAGAGGATCTCAATTGTCTAGCTTGGACGGTTGCAATTGTCGTCTGTAGTGACGCTAGCTGGCTTGTTAGTTGCGTTAACTGCCTTTGGAAGGAGGCTAAACAACTGATGTCTGCTGATCCAGCTGGTTGCAAAGAGTTCACACAGTGACTATCGTGGTAGACTTCCATCATTTTATCCGCCATGTCAGATAAATCATCAAGGGCAACGGATTTCCCTCAGACACTAAGAATTTGTATAACGCTATGTGGTAACTTTTGAAACCACATTTGTTTTAGAAGGGCTTCGTCCAGTTTGTATGGACCGGCAAGTTGTTTCATATGTCGAAGAAGTTGGGAGGGTCTCTTGTCTCCCAAGTCACAAGACGTTAACAATTGTTGCCGTCCTTTCTCATCTGAGACCGAAGTGCGTCGAATTAGTGTTGCCTTTATCTTATCATATGGTTCCGATTCTGGCACGTGGTCGGTTAAATCCCCAACTTCAGCCGCAATCTCAATGGGAAGTGCGCCGACTATATGCGCATACTTTGTTGCCTGAGATTGTATGCCTCGAGCCATGAATAAAGCTTCAATTTGGGCAAACCAGACTCTTGGGTTATTAGCTCCATAAGTTGGGAGTCTGAAGTTTGAGATAGTATTAACTGAACTTAAAATGTTTTCAGCAGAGTTCGACAATAGTGGTTACCGGAGGCGAATCCATATCAATAAGTTTGGTGGGGGGGACATTACGAGAAAAATAAACCAGTGGATCGTGTAAAAAGGTAAACAATATAACAATTAGAGTAAACACGAGGCTCACCAGATAATTGTGGTGGACCAAACAGTATATTAACCAAAAAGGAATAGCAATAAATTTATTACGTCCAAAAGTTAATATAACAATAAGGAACTTATAAATTATTAACGCGAAATAAAGGTTCATGGTCGCTACTTAAATCAGCTGGCTGTTGCGTGTTCCGTTGTGCTTGGTACCAAAGATCCACAATTATAGATAATTAATAAATTTAATGAGGTAAATATGGCTCCAGCCAGTTTTCTCGACGTAGAATGCAATAGGAATGTCACAAGTCTATAAATATAATTGATAGTTAATCGATAGTTTAGCTATTATATCCACAGGCATGATAGAACGAGGCATGTGTGTATAAGAGTGTATTTATTAATGCACAGTTAACAATGTCGTGCTATGTGTAATTCAAAACGGAAGGAAGTTAGTTGTCAAGGTCACATATTTAAACAACAAGTATAATCGTTTAGTGATAAATGTACAGATTGTGGAAATAAACAAATGCAAAAGCCATCAAAAACTATTTACAAAATAGGTTTATTAGACCTATATTCACACACTGACTTCAACGTGCTGGGAGGTTCTTGGTAGGAAGAAGGATCATCATAATGAATTTGTCTTTATCAAAATACTGGTCAGGATTAAATAAAATTACAACAGGAATATTGATATTAAATTCAGCTTAACCAGAACAGAGAAATTCAAGGCACAAGCTGAATAAACAGAAGCAAACAAGCAAGTGTAAAAGAGCACTAGAGGAACGACAACCGTAAAAGCCGCAACAGAAGGAAATATGACACAACGAAAAAACTGGAAGGGAAATATAGTAAACCAGGGAGATTGGACAAGGACAAAGAAGGCAATTCAACCACTGAAATTTCAGAAACAGATTATTCCTTTGTATTTGAATGACTTCTGATGGTGAATTACAAATACAGTCCGTTCGTTTGTTCTCATCTAACTACGCTCTACTCCAAAGTCCGCTAATTCTCATGTGCAAGCAAGAAATTTCAACGACCTGAAAACAAATGTCAATTCTATTACTGCTACAAAGTTAAAGAACCTGGAGAGGAAAGCAGATAAGGTCCCTCAGTGCCGAATTGCCAGACCGTACGCAAAAGGAACAATGACGAAATTGCTTAAACAAAAAAACCTGCTCACAAGATCTTTTCCCCAATCTGTGGAAGGTCTGCTAAAGCACGTCAGTGAATCTGTGGTTCACATGCGGGCAAATCACAACAACCGAATGCGATACAAGGGACCATGCGAGCCTGTTTCAGTTTCAGTTGTTAGTCCTAACATTCGTGAGTACATTCTAGGCTGGATTCAGTTGATCTTCAAACCACTTTGTTCGTTAAAAGACTAAAATATTTGTATCACCAAAGTACACTTTGGCAATAAACTATCAGTTAGGTATAGTTCATTGTTGCTAGGTTTACCGATGTATGGGCAGTTGACTTTGGAATCTTTCTCGGTTTAATTAGAGAAGACAATCTGATACGACAAATCATGCATCTATTGATCCGATTTAGAGTGATAGTTTAATGCTACTCAGGTAATAACAATGGTTGGAAAAGAAAAGTAGTATATGATGAAAATAATTGGAAGCATTCGAATACTTATTCGCACTCACTAAATGTCTAGTTTTTTTAAGTTTTAGGACGTCAAGTCTTACTCAGTATGTTATTGTTTACTGGACGATGCTCAATGTCAGGTTTTGTGTAATTTCCTACTTAATGGAAAATTCGAAAAGTAGCTCATGTGATTCTCAGCAATTCACTGTAACTGTTGATAGTGCCAGGTGGCCAAACTACTGTGTCTTATGCCACAGGAAATAGTCGTACACGTTCTTTAACTTCGTATTGTTCTAAGCCTCACATCAGACCAAAAACTGTCGTTTAACTCAGGTACGATCATGTCTGCCCAACTGCCTTATATATTTGATGCTATTCAATGTCAGTTCTTTAAACGTTACTTCATTTCTAAATGATATATCTTTTGTCAAGGAACTCTCAGTGTTTGTTTCACGGAGATCTGTCTTTACAAGGGTTCTTTCTTAATGTCCTTCATATGTCTATCTTGGTCGAGCATGGTCAATTATCGCATTCGATATTGCTGGCGGTTAACTGTTAAGGATCTTCGATGTGTGCAGACGTTTGGAGAATAATAAATTTTCATCTCATGTAGTTAGTTCTTTTGCTTTCTGCAGTTGGTATAAATGTTCAATTAATTGTTATCGCTTTTCAGTATTGAACATATGCAAAACAAACTTTGTGCTCCTTAGTAAATAAGTACCCTAATTTTGCCCGTTATTGGGACTTCGGCACCCATATTAACTCCCCATCCAGGAGATACAGAAAGGCTTTAGTGCGGTTAAAGTGTGCTTAATACCGAATGCCACAGATATTTGGAGCGTGGGGTCCTTATTTGAACACATAAGCCCTTCAGAATTGGACACGGAATGTTGGAAAACATAATGCCTACACAAAGTGAGGGATTATAAAAATATTTTATCTACCATCTAACTTAAACTGCTGTATAAATGTTTCAGGAACGGATTAATATGAAGAATTCCGTTAAAATAAGTTGGTCATAGGCAGTCTTCCTAACCTGTCAGAAGGCGATGGTTCATCCAACTCATGAACTGGTAGGAAACATACCTGATCCCCCCAAGTTACTTACTTCCAAGCCCTAGTAAGGGGTTAGAAAGACATGGAGGTTATTATTTTAGGCACTGTGTTGAAAGAGCTGCCTCTGTTAAACAAGCTTAATCTTACTTACCATAAAGCCAAAGTAGCGAAGATTGGAGATAAGCGAGTGAAAAGTTAACGTGTTTGATTTGGAAGCCTTAGACATGTTGGGTTGGAAAAATACATTGGGAGATTTGAAGTCATTGCCATCAATAAGTTTAAAATGATCCTGAGAATTAGAAAGAACATTCTGGAAGTGGAATGTGACAACAGCAGTGGCAATCATCCATATGAAATACAATGAGAAGCTCGAAGAAGCAATAACAATACCAAGAGTGTGGGCAAACCAGATTAGCAAGCGATAAAACTGATGACTAAGATCACCAATAGGTAATGCGCAAATAAATATTGAAGTTAGAAAAATGAAAGTTATAGAACACTTGATAATTAAAGAAACCCAAACTGCAGTATTCACAACTTTATAAGCAAGCGGTTGAAACGTATAACCATTTTCAACTCTTGATCTAGAAGCGATATCAAGGTAAGAAGCCAAAGGAGAATGGATGACAACGGCTACCACAGACTCATCTGATCTTTGAATGGATGTAAACGAGGTGGATATCAGGTTACAACTGAGTTTCTGAGGGACATAAACATCACCTGGAAAGTAAATGTGATTCTAGTTCAGAGGTCGAAAATTAAAAATGTAAATACCCTTACTTCATTTATTTGTTTGGAGAAAGCGAAGATTGTCTGACCTGGTTTAATAATAATAACATCACCTGGAACAAGTAAAACAGCAGGCAAGACCACGATTTTTCCATCTCGGATAGTAAGGTGGGTATCCAAACCAACCATCTCATTTAAAAGTCCATTTAGACATGGTGAATATGAAAGCATATTCGACTTCAAATTTCCTACAAACAATTAGAAACAACATACTTACTAAGACAAGTGACGGAAGATCTTAAGAATGTCTTAAACTTTGAACAAGATGAAATCATCCTTTTATAACGCGTTAAGAACGTTAAGAACAAAAGGCTACTTGACAAGAGGACAAAGAGCAAATCCCCAGCAATCGATATCCAGGAGTAGCTAGAAATATTAGACCAGTCAAACAAACTAGTTTATAGGACATAAAGTACCTGGAGGAATATCGGTATGAAGCAACAGAACATGATATAAGAATAAGTGACATTATGCTCAACATAAGAGACAATATATCCGAACGAGACCAACGCAGCAATACAATACCACCTATTGGTCTTTCACTTAACGTTTCCAACATTTCGCAAAATAGTTCCAAAGCCACTGGAGTTTCTAGACCCTGACTCATTGTAAGACTGTAAGCATAATCTCCTCGACAAACAAGGCATAACAATAATCTTCCCAAATCAACCTTGAGAGATTAAATCTTGCTCAGACACACAAACAGTTTAAAAACTGATTCCGTTCAATGATGGCGTGCTACAGTAAACAGGTACTCCAATGCTAAGAAAATTGAACTCCGAGGATTCCATAATTTTCACAGTGGTAAATGAGTAATCGCCCACTGTTATACAATTCAAAGATTAATCACACGAGTTTTTCCATAGTTTTATAAAGGAAAAGCCACATCTAATACTTAATACACTTTGTCAGTATTCATTATGTGTACATGACTCCTAAAATGAAACTGATATGTACCTGAATGTGGAATTCCCACGCAACCACCAATAATAATATATATTACTTGTTACCATGTTCAATTAATGTATAAATTGGTCATATTTGTATCAATAAAAAATTCAGATGGACAATCGAAGACGTGAAAACAAACAGAGGTACTAACGTAGCTTCAGATCACCAACTGGTTGTGTTCAAGATGTAACTGAAGCTAGAAAAACACTGAACAGCTGGGGAAACTGCAGTACAAAGGTTCTATACATCACTCCTTCGAGATACTGACAAACCCAAACAATTCAAGATAACTTTCAGCAACAGGTTCCAAGCTTTACAATATCTACTGGAAGAAAAGGAGACTACCATGGAAGAAAAATGGAAAGGGATCAAAAAATCACACACTTTGACGTATCAGGAGGTGTTCGGCCGGAATAAGCTTCATCATAATGAATAGATCTCTATGGAAACCCCGGACAAAATTCAATAAAGGAATGACAAGAAGACAGCGATTAGGAACAGCCGAACAAGAACAGAGGAAGTTGACGCACAGGCTGGATACACAGAAGCAAACAAGCAAGTGAAGAAGAGTATTAGGGATGACAAGTAGAAATATGTGGTAGACCCAACAAGGACAGTGGATAAAGCTGCAAGAGAAGGAAATATCAGACAACTATATGGCACGACGAAGAAACTGGTAGGGAAACACAATAAACCAGAGAGACAGGTCAGTGACAAAGAAGGCAAGTCAATCACTGAAATTTCAAGAACTGGAGAACAGATGCGTAGAATACTTTGGGGAACTCTTGAATAGGTCAGCTCCATTGAATCCGCTAGGCATCAAAGCAACACCTACAGACCTTCCTATAGATGTCACTTCACCAACAATCGAAGAAATCAGGATGACCACCAGGCAAACCAAGTATGGAAAAGCATCAAGACCTGACAATTCACCAGCCGAAGCACTAAGGTCAGACATAGAAGTAACTGCAAACATTCTCCACATTCTATCAAGGAAAATTTGGGGGGAAGATCAAGTGCTGACGGACTGGAAATAAGGATGTCTCATCCAGATACCAAAGAAAGGAGATCTGAGCAAGTGTGAAAACTAAAAAGATACTACACTACTGTCGATACCGGTGCAAGCTTCCGACATAGTGTTGCTGAACCGGGTGAAAGATCCAGTGGACGTCGAGCTTCGAGGTCGACAGGTCGGAATCCGTAATGATCGGTCGTGCACAGACCAGATCGCGACACTACAGATCATCGCTGAACAATCAATTGGATGGAATTCATCACTATACGTCAACATCATTGGCTATGGGAAGGCGTTTGACAGTGTGGATAGGAAGAACTTATGATAGTTTTCTTTGACACTATGGTGTGCATAGGAAAGTCGTGAACATCATCCGGAATTCATATGACAGACTACACTATAAGGTGATGCATGGAGAACAGCTGATAGATGCATTACAACTGCGAACCGGAGTCAGAAATGCCTGCTTAATCCCGTACTTTCTCTTTTTTCTTGTAGTTGACTGGATTAGGAATACCAACACATGTGAAGGGAAGTACGAGCATAATGGACAGCGCGGATTTAAGTAGACGACTTGGATATCGCAGATGACCTGGCTCCTCTATTACATACACATCAACAAATGTAAGTCAAGACAAGCAATGAAACGGAAGCATCTGCATCAGTAGGCCCCAACATAAACCAGGTAAAAGCAAGATACTCAAATTCAGCACTGAGAACGCCGACCCAGGACAGGGTTGGATGGAGATTGCTGGTGGGCGGCCTGTGCTCCCCCACGAGAGATAACAGGCGTAATGAGGCCAGTAAATCTCGAAAATCACAGCGAAAGTGAAGCGAATTCATTAGGTGATTCCAAGGTGCTACAGATACTTTGGGGTTGAAAGCGTTGCTTCTCATAACACATTTACTACTGAGTATAATTCAGTCAAACCAGAAATCAGAAACCGAATTAATGATATTTGTCTTCCATAGCAGCTACACACCAATTTTTCAAGCACAGTCAAACATTTACCACATGAATTTACGGGCAGCATACAGACCAGGTAGGTTTATTCAATAAATAAAGCAACTGAGAATAAATGACAGGATGTTCATTGAGATATACGATCAAGGTAATAGTTATATTTGGATATTTTTAGGTTCATTTGTAAGATAGCAGATGCGTCGAGAAGTTCATAATCTAAACTGACTAGTTTTTGTGAGGGATACGTAACCCGGTGTACCTAGTTTTGACCCATTTTCTTATCTTATTTTTACCACCTATTTTTGTGTTTGGATCACTAAAGTAATCCCAAACTACTTCTACTATCCCACGGCTCCCTTGTAGTCCAAAGATATAGTTAGATCTCGACACGTTCGACCTGATACACGTTCCTACTATGAATATAGAAATACATAGATTACGTTCATAAATAACTAAGACTCTAGAAATCAGCTGGAGATTATTGATCACAGACAGACATACAGTGTTCGATTAACAGTGAACAAAGGGCAGTAGGAAGTGTAATTTCCACAAAAAGAAGTAAGTAAGCACTTCTCAATCTCTTTTCCAATCATTTCTTTCCAAATATAGTCTATATTACTTGATTCTTTATGTTACCATTTTACGGGTGTGTTGTAAAAAGATCCCAGTTAAACCGATGTCAAAAGGGTTTGTGTAAGTATAAGTCCATGAGTGCTGAAAGAACAAAACCCAATGGTGATAAAAAGATCCCAAATACAACAGTCAAGTATTGAAAAGTTACTAGTGGATGTGAGCGACGATTCGAATTCTTTAACAAGCTATCATGCAATTGTAAATATTTTCCATGATAACAGAGGTGCTGTACAAAGATTTATTGACATAAACACCAATTTATTCATATGCTTTTTTCCCTTACTGGTATGATCCGGTTTGAAAGCGTTGGTGGTATCTGCGAGCCTTATTATTTTTAAAGGCAAGATAGTCTGCTTTTCATAGGTTGCAAACTCATAACGTATCCATCTCATAGATCTATCTGAAACTTAGCTTTATCTTAGGCCCTAAATTTATCCTACCATCGGAATTTATTCGGTAATTTTCAACTCAAAACTAAAAACATGATATTAGGTCTAAAACTTTTGTCAAACATGTGGTGTTCAATGCTATTGAATTTAATGCCTAAGTTGCACAAAATAACTTTGGTATACAGTATATTTACAGAATAATAAATATATTGAACCTCTGAATTTCTCAATCTGGACCACATGTGTTTGTTCTTTTGTTCCCAAAAACGATCTGAATCCAAGGCGGCTAGTCGTAATGCCAGACAAACGTGGTTTGGCTGTGCAGAATGTAGAAGATCTGGTTAGTGGAATATCTCAATATTTGACGGAAATTTTTCTAGGACGTTTCAAAACTAACTGCCTTATCACCGGAGGTCATCAGTCGTCAGGCTACCATAAACATCGGTACTATAGGCCATGTCGCCCACGGGAAGACAACAGTTGTGCGTGCAATTTCCACAGTGCATACCATTAGGCACAAAAATGAGTTGATCAGGAACATCACAATAAAGCTGGGATATGCTAATGCTAAGATATACAAATGCAATAGTGAAGCATGCATACGCCCTGCTTGTTATCGGTCATTCGGGAGTGCAACAGATGATTCCCTTCCCTGTCCTAGACCAGGATGTGATGGAACACTAACATTGCTGAGGTAAGTTAAATAATTATTTATCTGTCGTAGTAACTGCTAACGTCTTCCGATAAATACTGTTCATTCTTTTCAGAGCTTTTATTAAATCGCGCTGATTCTTGAGTTAATAACACTCATTTTGTCACTACTCTTAGTGAGTAAGAGCACAGTGTGGTGTTGTCGAGTTATTCCAATCTCTCAAATGTCCCGAAAGTACTTTGGTCATAGTTTTGTTCACTCACTGAGTTACTTGTTATGAAACCACCAGCCTAACATTTTAAAAACAATGGACCGAGTCAGCACTTCTACTTAGCCTCCCTTTCATTCTGCAATGCCTTGTTCTGTATTGTTCTAATCGCTTTTACATGTCCTAGGGATCACGTGATTTAAATTCCCCTTGGTAAGTACGCTAGGATGGTACCAGTTACATTTACTACCATGTAGCAATCCCAAGTTCAGCCACGGGGACAGGTCCGTTGTTCAGTTATAACAGCAAGCAAACGAGTCATGTTTAGTGGTCATGTTACTTCTGAAATTGAATTTTTGACATAATAGTTTGCATTACATTGTTATATTGTTCAGGCTATCTATTAACGTCTTTAATTCAGCTTTTTTAATGCGCAGTGGAATCCCGATCTTCATTTAAATTATCTCACTGCACGTAGGTCATCTTTGTTAGCAAATAGTTTATTACGCTTTTCACTGTCTTGTGGATATTATTGACACTATCCAAAGTTTAGGTTTAACAATAGGGTTTTAGTTGATTTAAGAACGAGTCGCCATGTTAATTCCCTCAATCACCTATTACACTTGCCATTTTTTGTTTTGTGCTCATATCCTGTACATAAGCATCTTATTTCACTGTATTAAAACCTAATCATCTAGCTGGTGGTCTTTAATTTCTAGTCATTCATTGGGGTAAGTCAATAGTACGGCATCTTAATTAGCCGTCACTAGACCACAGTATATGTTATTAGGCTCATTCATCCATTTACATTCTATTAATTGATTTTAAGAGCTAAAAACCTGTTCGAAACAAATCGTGAAATCCTCCATAACGAGTGTGTATGAGATTTTCTATTTTATAACTTCAATGTTTTTTTAATTAGGCATGTTTCGTTTGTGGATTGTCCAGGTCATGATATTTTAATGGCAACTATGTTAAACGGTGCTGCTGTTATGGACGCAGCATTATTGTTGATAGCCAGCAATGAGACATGCCCCCAGCCTCAAACAAGTGAGCACCTCGCTGCTGTAGAGATCATGCAGTTGAAATACATAATTATTCTTCAAAATAAGATTGACTTAATCAAGGAAAGTCAGGCACGCGAACAATATTCACAGGTAAGTCTTGAAAAACCAGGTGAAATTTCCCCATCCGATTTTGTATTGTGTCTTGATTTTTGCAATAACTTATGTATGTCGGAGGACCCTTGTTTTGTAAGTTGGCTTATGCACTTTAGCGTGTGTCGACATTTTGACCTCGAAAGTTAAATAATTGATGTCTATAAAACCTGATTAGTGTAAATAATACCACTAAAAGGTCAGGTTGTTTAGTGTCGTCAACTTTATTAACAGTTGACGTTTTACTCTTTTGCGCTATGCTTTTGGGTTAACATGTGTTTCAGAACGTGATATACCTCTTTCAGGCAGTGTTTGTCAGATAAATAAAAGTTCTGGGTAAAACTGAAACCAATTACTGTTGTGTGACTGGAAAGTTCTTGAAGAATTTCGGAAGTCATAGTTGTGTAAAAGTGTCGCGGATTCTTACTAGACGGTGTTTATGGTCCAAACCGTGCTGGTTATCTCGACTGAAAAGATGTACTTGTGTATTGATCACATTTATATTCCTTTTTTAGATTTTACGTTTTATCCAGGGTACTGTTGCTCAAGGAGCTCCAGTTGTACCTATCTCAGCACAATTGAAGTATAATATTGATGTTGTTTGTGATTACATTGTGAATCACATTCCGGTTCCAGTACGGGATTTTACATCAGCACCTCGTTTGATTGGTGAGTTGTTTGTTTTGTATATACCAAACAAGTTTAAGTGTATATTGAATCAGAGGTTATGGTTAGCTATATGGTGTCTGATTTCTTTACTTGCAGTTATTCGATCATTCGATGTAAACAAACCTGGTTGCGAAGTGGATGATCTACAAGGTGGAGTAGCTGGAGGGAGCATTTTGCGAGGGGTTCTAAAGGTAGTTTATTGTGATATATGCTTTATTTGTCCTAATCATTTATTTTTTGTTCTAACTGTCTGTTTCATTTCTTGTTAGATAATGTATTTCAACAATTTTTCTTATTATCTCCGTGTAGTCCCTAATTTTTGTTCAATTGTCTTATGTAACACTTTCCAACAGGTTGGGCAAAAAATAGAAATTAGACCAGGTCTCGTTTCAAAAGATTCGGAGACTGGGGGCGTTACTTGTAGACCCATTATTTCATGTATTGTGTCACTTTTCGCGGAGCAGAATGACCTTGCTTATGCTGTTCCAGGAGGTTTAATTGGAGTTGGGACAAAAATCGATCCACAGTTGTGTCGCGCTGATCGTTTGGTTGGACATGTTTTAGGACAGGTTGGCACCTTGCCTGACATATATGTGGAGTTGGAAATATCATTCTTTCTTCTACGACGTTTGTTAGGTGTTCGCACAGAAGGGGACCAAAAAGGTGCTAAGGCAAGTAGTCTATTATTCTATTTCACTCATGATTTTCTTGTATCCAATAATGCGTCTAAAAGTTTTACAACGTGGAAACAATTTCTATCGCTGACTGACAACTAACGAACTGCTTAAAGCTAAGCATCATTAGGCCTTTTTTCTTTGTTTGGGAATCTTCACCAATATGGACCTAGTTCTGTGACCCTTAATTTATATACAGTAAAACCTTTTAATACAATGCTACCATAAATTTACCACGCAACGTGGAAGAAATGGTAACTGTCATATAACTGGTCAATAAATGGATGAGATTGATGTTTAGTTCTTGAAAAGGAACCTAGGTAGATTTTGTTTAGTTAAGTAGATGCATAGTTTATGTAAAAATAGAAAACTGTAACAATCATCAATTAATTCTATTACGAATCATATCTGATGGCGTGTGAACCCATTCAGTTGGTCGGTGTCTGGGACTCTACTTAAATTGTAATAGACTAGCCTCTTTTAGTCGTATATAGTTATCTGTCACTCCACAGCTCTATTTCATAAGCTGACCACGTATTCGCTATCCACCTCGTTCTAGGATCGGGAATCAATACACAGCACAGATGCTGCTACAATAACAACCTTGCTAAGATAACGGTAGTCAAAAACAAAGGAAACTTTGGATGACCGGTGTATTATCGCAGAGTAAAACAATATCGATTTATTCGGAGTTTATAAGTCCTCATTTAGGTAACAGACCTTCCACGCCACACTACACTTCGAAAGTCTGTCGACTTCGTTCAACCTCACTGTTGGATTAGAAGTGGAAAGGAATGGCTCTTTTTCTCACCTTATCTCAGTGAGTTTTCTACTAAAATTTTGAGATGTGAATAAACCTATGGTCTTCAACACGCACTCCTAGAGGTTAGTCCTGTTCAGTAGGTCGATGACGATCGTGGTATGAAAATTATATTTCTAGATTGCCAAGTCAAATTTCAACATCCTCGATTTACTGTAACACTCCCAACTAATAATGCCAGTATGCATCGCTATTCACACTCAACAACGTTTTATTTGGTGGTCTGTTTTGTAAAAGTGGATTACCATTTAATTGTGGTTGACTCTGAGTGAATAAATATTGGACCATACGTTTGTCGCTACTGCCTTATAAAAGGTTTCTCATCATAGTTTAGTATCTATAATTATTGCCTTCTTTAGACTTATCTTTCCTCCTTTGTTTTGTAAACTAATAAGTTTCAATTTGCCTTTAAATAACTGTCGGAATGTGTTCGGTACTACCACATTTTAATTCTCTCAGCAAACTTTTAACTTCTTTATCATCCTGAAACGTAATAATACAAAGACCTGTTTACATTTAATATTAATTTGTTCGGAATTTTAACACAATTAATAGGTTTATGAGCTTTTGGTTGGTAACATAAAACTTTAAATGCTGCTAAAACGAATAATTCATTGTTTCTTATTTTATTGTCTCCCACAGGTCCAAAAGCTTTCTAAAAATGAAGTTTTGATGGTGAATATCGGGTCTCTTTCTAGTGGTGGATGTGTTATAGCTGTTAAAGGTGATCTAGCCAAAATACGACTAAATAGCCCTGTCTGTACTCAAGTTGATGAAAAAATCGCATTAAGCAGGCGTGTTGAAAGACATTGGCGGTAAGTAATTCAATTTTTTATTCCAGTTAGTTTTAAATAGTTTTACTGACATACGTATCACCGTACACATCGATTTCTTTTTCTCTGTAGATTGATAGGATGGGGAGAAATTCGACGTGGTGTCACAATCCAGCCCGTCCAGTGAATACCGACAAACTTCGTTTTGCATATGAAGATGAAGATCTATACCTGTGTACGCTGATTATTATCCTTTTTTGTCTTGTGTAACTTAGGTCATTGTCAAAACAAATATTTCGTAACTTGGACTTAATTGTTATTTTTTCCTAGAAATCTCGATTACCTATGTGCGACTATTTGTTAGTGGATTATAAATATCTTTTTGTTATATCAAATAAGAAATTTGCCGCAGGCAGCTAACATTGCCTTAATATCGCTCTTTGGTCATGTTTAAGCGTTATTCATGTGTTTATAAAAGTTTTTCTGGTTGCCTTTACGTTTACCTACCTATCTTAGTGCTTCGTTGGGTCAAATTAAATTTCAGGCCACTAGTCAATTTACTTTAATACATGCTAGAGCCTTCCAAGATTAATTTTACCGGGGTCAAGATGTATGTAAGAGCTCTTCGTGAGCACTCGATTGGCTTTCAGTGTTTAAGCAACTGTGATTTTTAAGTACTATATAAAGACGTTCCGAGACCTGCTAAACTGTATAAGACAGTTGGGGCTGGTTATTTACGAAAACAAGCGTTCTGTACTCGAAAGTGGTTTTTGAAGTTTATCATTTTTTTCTCAAACATACACCTGTATCCTACTAAGAGTATATCTAGGACCAGTGGAATAGTGATTAAGAGAAGAACAGTGATCGTATCAATATGTGGATTCACTTCAATTCCCTCCAATACTGATAAAATATTCATTTGAAAGTGGTATGTATACTTTACTTGATAATACCAGAAGACGTCATCAATGAAGAGAAAGATAATCATGAAGAAATTACAAGGGTTGTTTATCTGGTTAAATATTTGTATCCTGAATAGTATAGATATTCTAGATTTTCAAAGGCATGGATACAGGTTGCTAGGAAATTGATATTAAGATGTATTCAGTAACATTTACAAAGATAGGTCGATTGTAAGACCAAAATGAGGGATTATAAGAGTATGAATGATGAGTGACATATAATTATGAACACAAAGTTATTGATTATGCAAATGAACATTGTAAACTGAGATCGCTAGGGTGGTACAAGACCAACTACAGTGTGATTTCGGATAATACCGCCTTAAACATTCGATGGCGATACTTTTGATAAAGAGTAAGTTTGCGGCCATTTGATGATGTTAATGGTCCAGAATGACTTTAATTTCTTAACGTCGTCTCCACAATAAACTAACGATCGTGGTTTCTTAGTCTCAGTCCCTGAGGAACTTGGTCTTCAACGTAACAATAACTCCTTTTTCTACCTTAGGTGTGTACATATAGACTGATGAATACTAATAGAAATGTCAATGCATGGTTCCGTATAAAATACCGATTTGTTAACAAAGTGAGCGTTTGTCGTCAGTTAAATACAGATGCCTTACCTAACTATGAAGCAATTGAGTGTGATAGTGATCCAGTGTTCTCTGTTCCCGATATATTTGTCCCCATATTAATGGACACCGTGTGTACTAACCTGGTTAGCGTTTTTTTTAGCGAGTTAGTTTTCGACAGGATGGAGTCGCTAACCCCATGCCCAACCCTCCTCCTTTACTCGGGCCTGAGACGGAATAACTCTAGAAGAGCTACAGGCGGATTCTCAACATCCATTGGCCGGATACCATCAGTAGCAGCCTGTTGGATAGAACAAACCAGCTGAGGAGGAAATTAGGGGAACACGATGGAAATGGATAGGATATACACTACGCAAACCATCGAACTGCATCACGAGGCAAGCCCTAACTTGGAATCCTGAGGGGAAGAGGAAGGCCAAAGAACACATTACTTCGGGAAATAGAAGCAGATATGAAAAGGATGAATAACAACTGGAAAGGATTGCCCAGAACAGGGTTGGATGGAGAATACTGGTGAACGGCCTATGCCCCTTCACGAGAAGTAACAGGCGTGAGTATGTACTAGTCTGTTTAAAATAGATGACAAATACGTTTCTAAAGCAAACATCCTTTGGGGATGCTTGAGACCAAAGTTCAGAATTTACCTTGGGATTTTCGATTCGTCTTTTAATGTAGGACTGTAATTCGACTGCTTAAAGTTGTAAACTCATCCATGGTTCTCTGGGAATTCTCATTTGACTGGAAATTTTCGTCATGAGCTAACTTCAAATCCTATCGTGAACCACAGTACAACAGGGATGTGGTTTGTTTAAATTAGGAGGTCCTCATTAGTTAATGTGACTCCGGTATGGATCGAACTTGAGGCCTTTGTTCCTGTCGTCTACTTTTTTTATTATTCACCCACTGAAGTCAGTTTGTGACAAAAAATTGGGATATAGTCTCGGTCAAATGGAACAAGTTATTTAAATGGTGATTAGACTATTACAACTAGGTTCATAAAACAACATTTCATGTGACGTAGTGACAATACTTCTTTTACTAATGTCTGTAGAATGATGTTTCCCAATCAAACGGTTGTCCTATTGTATTCACCTTTATTTTGTATTTCAGCCTGCTCTTCAGATATGCAACGTGGTTATCTTGAAAAGTAAGACAAGATGTACAAATGTAGACCAGTGTTGCAAGCATTGAGTTATTTTAAACATGGGTTTGTATTCTATCGTATATGCGATCCAAATATAAGTAATGTCGACAAGTTGGATTATATCTTATTGAAATGTTGCTTGTCTAATTTCGATTTTCCGACTGAAATGAAGTGATGCGATCGCAATAATGAAAAGATCAAATTTTCATCATGGTATAAAAACAAATAATTAAGGCGAAAGTTTCATACACTGATCAAAACTTTGGGCACAGCATATAAGGTACTGGTCCAAGTGTTGGTGGTCTTACTGTTCGGTTTTGCTTCATACTACTTACTTGTTTGTGAGTAGTGTAGTGTAGGTTCAGACTAGGATTTAAATGATGGTCAAGTCGAGTAAAGGAATCAACCAATTAATAACCTTCGACACAGCATTTGATGGGATAACTACGGTGGAGACTACGAAACTATATCAACCATATTTTTGAAATATATATGCTTTATCTCTCTAAAAGTTATATAACTTCAAAATCTTGATGAATATATGGAATACCTTCATGTGGATTGATATTCACCAGCATCGAATTCTTTTTAATCGGAAATTTTCTCTAGAAATCCTCTCACGATTTATTGACTTGAGAAAACAGTTGTTGCGAATTTTTGTCGCTATGTATTGTACGTGAGCACGGGTGTATTATCTTAAAGTACTGAAAGATAGGTTTGAAGAATAAAATGGTTTTTATTTATTTTCTAGCTACACATGCATTTGTATTATTTATGAGCACTTTGAGAAGTTTCAATTGTCTATATACATGATACCAGAAATTTGCCATCATAGATTTTCAATTAAGACTCATATTGTCTGTCCTATCAATATACTTAAGATATGAAGTTTATACTTCATAACTACAACACTAGTATCGATTTAATGCAAATACGTATAATGCATATGTATATAATTTCCCAGAGCTTCGTAGAAGTCTAGGTGTATTCGAAGTTTTTGAGGTATTTCTCGATTGTTACCCGCAGATTTTAAAGTTAATAATTGTTAAAAAAGTAGATAATATCAGGTTGCCTGTCGAAAATAGCTATTCCATACACAGTGCTAAGTCAAGCTTTTATTTAATCTCCAAATAAATAAGAAAACGGAGTTTCTAAGAGAGGAGGAGGGAGGCTATAACAATAAACACAAAGATAAGTGGACGAGATTAATATATTGTGAGAGAAATAGTTCGGTTACAATGCAACAAAAAATGATTCCATTTACGGGTGGTTCTATAATTTTGACAATGAATTTAAAAGGACCTTATGTGGGGGTCACCACTGGTTTTATGCTCTTAGCCATACGTGATACCGTCTCAAGTCACTGATTTGCGCTGTTTCTCGAACAGCATTCTCGCGGTTTTGACAGACCGATTGATGTAATTTTCATGGGATTTCTTTTAGTTCACGGCACCATTTCATAAACTGACGGCCTCGATGCTTTTTCCAACTAGTCTCAGCTTTGGCACATACATTACGATCTGGAAGTCGCCGGTATGACATTCGTAAAACATGTCCAAGCCACCGATTAGTGTTTAAGGATTCTGACACCAATTGAATATTGTAAAACATCGTGTTGCCGCTGAATGTCAGCAATCCTTCGAAGACAACGATGCTTGAACACAGTCATATAAAATCCTCAACTTGGAGAGGCCGGATTTCATTAGCATAAAGCAAAACTGACCTCAATGACGCTTTATAAACCCGACGTTTAAGAACCAGGCTAACGTTACGACGATTCAAAATATAGCCCAGCTTGGTATAGGTCTGTGGCTTTCATTACACGCAAATAGATCTCATTAGTCACACCACCCCCCACACACTACGCTTCCGCAATACATAGATTGACCACTGACACATACATGGCTACCCAGATACACAAACCTCTCGACAATTTCTAATGTCACTATCAAGAGCGAGTTCAGGCACAGATCCCTGTCAGTCCTGAAAAAGTACTTTGCGCTTAGAATTTAGAAAGCACATGCCATACCTACGGACACCGATTAAGTGAGGATCGCATGACTTGATTATCCTCGCACAGTAAAACAATATCATCCATATACTCAAGGTCGAAAAGTCTTCCTTAAGGTTAAAGTCCCTCACAACTATTAACTACTTCCGTAAGCTGTTACTAGGATGTTATTGATGGCAAAGATGAGAAAAAGTGAGACTGGGTAGCTTTACTTGACCCTGCGGCCTGAATGAAACAATGAATAGATGTTGTATCCCTTCATTCTGCGTTAGTCGCTTACGTAGAGAGCATTCAATACGTTAACAAACTTGTCAGACACACCTTTCTTCAACAGATGATCCTAGAGAACAGTGCTGTCCAACGAAACTAAGACTGGCCTGATATCAAGAAACAACGATTATTGACCTGCAATGAGTATGGAGTTGTTCTAACATTTGGTGGAGGAAAAAGATTTGATCAATACATTTTCGGTCATAACGAAAACCACCCTGGTCCTCTAGGGTCAATGTTTCCAGAGTTTTGAACAGTTAGTCCCCTAACAAGAAGGATGCCAACATCCATAAAATCTGCAGGAGCCAAGTTATCGGGAACTGAACCCGCGAATTCCACAATGGGCCAGCAGGACTTTTCGCCGAAGACGTTATCCGGGCTTGGTGATTTATGGCACTTTGGGAGTTTCAGTTCTTTGTGGACTTCCTCCTCCTTAGACGGACGGGTCGTCATTGGCCGTGAATGATAGGACAGTCCGATCAGTTTTTTAGGGCGGCTGAACTGTTCCCCGAAGAATTCTGTCCATCATCCAAGTCGGTGGATGTCAGTGATTGGTATCTCAAGAGATTCACAGATGCGTTCGCTCACACCAGACCTATTTCTGCCAGTGACTCGAATGCGTTGAAAGAGCTTCCGGCAGTTACCAGATCCAGCTACTACCTTTCAACATGCTCTAACAAACAGGCTTCTCGCTCCTTACGAGAACTTTGCACAATTTTTATACGCAAGAATATACGTTTACCATCAGTCTCGTGGTCGTTCCGAGTAGATTGACGTGCCCCAACGAGTTTTAAGGAGTCTATAATGACCCGATTCTTATTAGCGGGGGCGTTCGGCGAAGTGGCGAGCGGTTTTGCCCGCCATTTTTATGAAGCCATGCTAATTCACTCAGTGCTCATCGAGACTTTTCAGTGGGTTGGTAGCTAACTTTTCTGGTGGTAGAACTCATCCTTGGTTGCGTCCGGGCTGCAGTCTGTCGGAGAGTAGTAGTAATAGTAGTTCGACACTAACACTCGGAAAACCGGATGAAAATGACAGGGTCCCCGGAAGATCACACGTAAAATAAGTCTTTCTAATCGACAGATGGAATGCAAACATGTGGTACTTTACTAGTCATGAATATTGGTCTCAGATAGACAACAGACGTCGACGTTAAGACTCTAAAGACATAGTCATAGGACATAGATAGGACAGAATTTTCACCATAGGCGAGCTGTTATATGAGTTGATAAATGAAGGAGTACACAAAAGGGAATAAACAAGTGACGCAATATAAAATAAAAACGAATGTTATCGAATCGTTATGAGTATAATTGATGAGAATGAGAATCGCAGCAAGCATAATTCTCCTGGGTTGTAGCTATCATCAAATTTGTGTGTGAGTTGCAATATTGTCTGGGTACCCAAACCGAAGCAGTTAGTTTCGTTAGGCGACCACTCCATAGCCTTCGACCTAGGGGTCCAATCCACAAGACAGTGGAGTGACTTTAGGGAACGAGGTCCTATGACACCCCCCCTAGGTGGACCTTCCGTACCATGTCGGTGGCAGTGTAGTGAACAGAACACGAGTGGGGACAATCGAATGTATTGAACACTACATTACAGGACTTGTTAATAAAATCTAACAATCATACAGTAAATGCTTAATTTGCAAAATGTCCATCAATTGTCTCAAAATGACTCAGATTTCATTATTCTTGCATTTTCATACAAATTGTATTCTGTTTCCATTCTTTACTTTCTATCCTCTTGTCCCTCTGCTGCCAGACATTCTGTTCACCACTAACATCATCTACTACTTATGTCGATATAAATAGCACACACCACAGTAGCATTCACTTTTCCATCACTGAGTGACTCAAGATCGGTTAGATAGTACAAGATTTCCATCATGGGCGAACTGTTGTGTGAGTTGAAAAATAAATGTAAATGGAGGATTGTAACAAATAAAATAAAAAGTTGAAGCTATGTAAAATATTTACATCAGTAATATAGTCACTGTAAATATTTTTCCCAATGAGCAACTTAGCGAATCGAATAAATCCGTTTCTTCATGATTATTCATTACCGTATTCAAGCGTGGCCTGGGATTTCGCTTAAGTGCTGAAGTTGAAGTAAGTGGCTTCCTTAGGAGGTCACTTTTCGACCCTCTGACCTAGAAGGCCGATCTGCAAGACAGTGGAGCAAGGTCATGGTGGCTGGTGACCAAATACACTTTCGCACAACATTGTTTTCCTCAGGGTCTTGAGGTTCATGTACGTCGTTGGTTTGGAATCAGGGTTTTCCAACTGTTCTTGGTATATCTTCCGTACTCACCAACCTAGTTTGGTCTCTGAATTCTCGCTTTTCATTTTCTTTATCTTATAAACAAAATCCCGGCAGTGAAAATACACTAAGTAGGATTTCTTTACCAGTGGTTATAAACTTGTAGCTACGTGTGGACTTTTCGAGAGAGAGAAAAATTTCTCCCCACCCATTACCCTACTGGGGTACTTTTGGCTAATAAAATCAGAAATTTTATCGACCGGTGATACAATGAACAACTAATTTAATGTATCTTCTAGAAATCACTGCCACCATACACACTCAGATCAAATTTGGATCATGTTACTATTATTGGTTTTCTGATTTGAACTCATCGATTAAAATTCATTCTTAAGCCTACCAGTTTCAGGACATTTTCACGCAATCCCTTAGTTGTCAATAAATTTCGTTGAATAAAATCATATCTTACAAATGTAACCTAACTTATGAAAAACTGGGTTTACCTAAGTCACATTTGTAAATTCAGTTTTTGTTTCATGAAATTTGAACTCAAAGTAGTAGTAGTAGTAGTCGTTGTTGTTGTTGCTGAAAGCATGAAGTTATTTGAATACTTATGTGGTCACTGAATTAACTATTATTCTAGCAAATTATATACTCCAGCGTCCAATTTTTATCCATCTTTCAATAATCGTTGGATATTTCTACTGGTCATATCTAGTCACATTTATTTGAGAAGCTGATTCATGTGAAACAAGTTACCAAATTTCTTTGGATT